TTTCGTTTCGCTGATGTGAGGAAATGTTAATGTGGATATAATGCACCTTGTTTTATGAATAAAGAAAGGCAATTTCGTTTACTTTGGAATCTAATCACCTTAACCCTTCTATTGGTCAACCAATGTATTTTAGATCCGAATGTTTCTTTACGTTTGGATTTGCATCTTGGTTTCACGATCTGCTACGTGAAATCTAGTTGCTATTCCAAAGATTTCTTTGTTCGGCACCAATATGTTTCACGTATACCAAGAGGAAGAAGAATTGGGAAACATATGGTCTTTGTACTTGGCAGGTCGGTTTAGAGTTCGCTAGATGGAGGTGAGTATTGAGTAGCTATAAATAGATAGTGCAAGCTGGGGAGAAGATAGTGTGCATTTATTTTACTTATTTCGTTTTTACTTTCGGCATACAACGATTAGTCTGTTACACCACTATCAGTGCAATTAGACAACTTCAAACAATACATTGTGGAGCTCAAGCGGAACATCGGTGAAGAAGCTGCCCAGAATTTAGTCACCAACAGTGTGTTTTTCGTAGCAGCGGTCACCAACGATCTGGTTGTAAACTACTTTACCGTTCCCACCAGAAGAATACAATAGGATGTCTCAGCTTATGATAACATGCTCGTAAAATTAGCCTTGTATGCTCACATGATTACGTCTAACCATCTCTCACTCGAGCCATATGCATGTCGATCGCGGCCAATTGTAGATCCTTATATGATGTGAATAACTGTATGATCTATAGATATACGTTGTTATGACTGAGGGTATCTCCAAACAATCTTGTCGAATTAATTAATCACGCGAATATACAACCAAAACGACTTTCACGTTCTATATTGTAACCAAGTCCTGTCATAAGGTATACCAACATAACTAAAACTGATGTGCAGGGACGGACCCAGAATTTTTTTCAAACGATGGCATCATTTGACTATAAGAAAAAAAAAAAAAAGGAAACTAATTTCAAACGGTGACACCATTGGACTAAAAAAATGACATTAACAGGATTCGAATTTGAGTTTGTGGTGGAATAAAAGCTTTGTAAATCAACTCTACTAAATAAAACTTGTTCTCATTATAGTTTCAGAATACATACGGTGACACACAATAAATTAATACGGTTGCATCTTTCACGAACCTAAATTTTTTTACCCTTCGACGGAGGAATAATACGGTGGCACGTGCTACTGTGTGCACCGCTATAGGTCCGTCCATGCTAATGTGTAACATGAAATTTTCATGCAATATGATCTTAGACCATCTCCAACCCAACACTAAAACACAAAAAGGTAGCATTCTAATGACCGTCCTATTTGCAAATTGTTTGAGCATTAAATTGAAGAAGACATAAGAGTTAGTTGCATTAAATTGTTAAAATTGACAAAGGATCAAATTAATTTCATTCATACAAATATGTTTTTTTTATTAACCTGGATATCCAACCCGCTATGCAAGCCGACTATTCCAGGGCAATCACCTGTTTTGCAGATAGCCCGAAGTCACCGCATTTGAACCTCTGTGGCCGCGAAGGGATTTTTATTCCTCCTTGGATTTGAACATGAGACCTTCTGATACTTTTAACCTTTGGAGTCAAGCTTAAACCAATCAGGCACCACCCTTATGGTTACAAATATGCTTTTCAAATCTTCATTGCATATTTTTCATAACTAAATTGATCATTGCATGACTAGAGAAACCCTAATCTTGAAGTTTAGGCAACCATTAATTCTTTAGCAACATGTTACTTTTAATTAAAATCGGGAGATTAAACTCTTGTATTAATGATTCACGAAAGATTTTGGCTCGTAATTTTTAACATTGAGAAGACTTTATTGATATTAGTTAGTGCATTTAGACCTGCGGACAAGACTAGACCTGATAAATTAACACCGCTACATGACATCATGATCAACTTGGATTAGGTCGGACCACCATTAATGTCATTTTTTTAAACAACAAGAATGCAAATCACCAAAACGAGCTAGGAGTAAAAGAAAGACATCAAACAAACAGCTAAAGGATTACAACGTCAACTCTCGCAAATAATCGCCTCCCCTTTGTAATTCTACTTATAACCCACATGAAAGAATTCGAATCACCTTCGACACAATAATGTCGAAAGGTGTCTCCATGTTGCTGAAGGTCAACGAGTTGCGAGATTGTATTATATAATTCATAAATATATCAGTTATATGCAAGTTTATATGAAAGTGATTCTTTGTTTATATATCTCACAACTATTTTAAAGATTGATAAAGCTTTTAGTTATATATGCAACTAAAAAATGGGAAATTGCATGAAAAAATAACGTACTTTAACTTGATTCCGATTTAAGGTAACGTACTTTCAAAACTTTCATACGTTACTTTTCATGCAATTTTCCTATTAAAAAACCATATAAGTTTGAAAACTCCACTTTACCGATTCATCAACACACACATAATCTAAGAAGCGTAAGTAGGAATCTCCATATACTTAGATCCACATTGGGATGAGATGCACCGAGGGATGTGAACTTTTATAACATTTATCATGAATGTCTTGTCTATATTCATCATGAATACGGAAACGTGGCACACTACTCGTGGTTCCCTGTTCTCAATGAAAATGAGATTTCTAATGGGGAGAGAGAGAGGGGGGGAGTTTATTTGTAAACCAAATTTTCTGTGAACACGAGTACTAATCATCGGTCCTCCATTTTATTTGATCCATCAACTCACATTAAATAGAGTTTTTAATTAAAATTATTAATTAAGGTGATTAGGAAAAAAGAAAATTAGATGAAAATTTCTTATTTTCGATATGACATTCATCTCGATAAAGTTTTAATTTTTGTTCTAACCGTTTTTTACGTGAAATGGTATATATGTGTTATATTTATTATAAATATTTATGTACGTTTAAATGTGTACAACAGCTCGACACAGTAAGTCTGTAATGTGACGTCATCATTTTATGTCTAATAACTTCTGATTATTTGGGATTAAATACTAACAAATTAATCTAATGTCGAACAATAATTATCAAACGAGATGCAACATCCAGCAATCAAATGCAAATGCAGAAGAAATTAAGATGTAACTAAAAACCAAGACTATCATTGACGAACATATTAACGACTATTATTTTCGTTGGCTATTAAAGTATTACTGATGGTACGATCCGTCGCTAAACCACGATAATACTATATCTACAAGACACAAACGAATTACCGATGGCATTCCAATTTCCAAGGAGTCTTATTTCATATGGATTACTAACGATCTTTCCATCACAAAATTTGATGTCCAACTACTTACTGGATGTCTCGACAAGGATTACTGGCAACGTATCGACGGTTTTCCGAAAACCAACTTCCTATAATATTTTATTAAACTTTAAACTTCACAGCAAAACGCTGTGAAGGTAAAAAGAAGCCGAAACCTTCACATATATAAAATTCTAAGCCGAGGGGTACTAGGAGTGAAGGAGTATCTTCCCTACAAGCCAAAGATCTTCTATCCAGGTGTTAGTTTTGCTTCTGGTGGCACTGGGTATGATCCATTAACACCCAAACTATCGGTATGTGTCCATATCTTACTTTTAGTTGAACTCTTTCCTTCCTGCCATTCCTTTATTTTCTTATTAGATAGCCGACTTTAGCGCACCCCCAATTGGCTGTAATCCGGTGGTGAGAATGTTAAGCGGAGGTGCATTTAGAAGGTGCCAAGACAAGGAAAATAACGCAACACAATTGTTCAACAACATGGTATCAAGGTATACTTTGAGCCGGTGAGTCGAGAGTATAAACACATATTAAAAAATAATGAGAAACTACATACGGAAATGTAATGGGTGCAATACAACGATTCATACCCGGTACTATTATTACCAGTACTACACTAGAATAAGTCAATAAAGAGTTTTCATAAGCAATCCTAAACACCCTCTAATATCTACATTGTATTGTTTTCTTAACTTTTAAAAGAACATTAGTAAAAAGACTAGTATGCACTAGTATGCCCCTAACTTAATGGAGTTCATGTTAACAGAGTTAGCTTAATGGACTCAACTCGTTACAAAAGTGAAAACACAGGGACCATAGTTGTAAGTATTTCGTTTGAAGGATACAATCCAAAATTTTATATAACCATAGGGACTAAATTTTTAATTTACTATATAACTTATAAACGTTAAATCCCACTTTCAAACATTTTATGTTTTCGTTCTTTGCAATTTTGTTTGTATAAATTTCCAAAAATCTGTTGCCGCTTCTCCTCCATATGAAAACTCATCCTTTGGTTGATTACCGGAAACCTCGACCAATCCCATGCGGAACCCGCCCCTTAAGAACAGTACAACAAAATTGGGTTTATAGGACATCCTCAATCTCTAAGCGTCCTAATATACCGCTTTATAGGACTTAATTTATATGACTAAAATATAAAGCGTCATATCTAAAGATGTTGTAATAAGTTTATATGACGTTTTTTGGTGTCTTAACAAGTTTTTTAGGACATTTTTAATACAAAGTGTCGCATTAGCAACTTTATAGGACACTTTTGAGAAAATGCCCTATAAACTCATTTTTTTAATAGGACATTTGTTTTTATAGGACAGTTTTTCAAATAGTGTCCTATAAAGTTGATAATGGGATGCTTTATATTAAAAGTGTCCTAAAAAACTTATTACGACATCAAAAAAAGGTCATATAAACTTAATACAACACCTTTAGATAGGACACTTCATTTTTTTGGTCCTATAAAGAGGTCTATTAGGACAATTAGAATTTAGGAGTGTCCTATAAACCCGACTTTGTTGTAGTGGAACCACATGTGAGGAGGCATTGCAGAGCTGACTCAGCGGCTGAGGCTAGTAGTGGGGTTCAAGCCCGTCTCTTGCAGGTTTCGAACATCGAAACCTGTTGTGTATTTGAGCAAAGTCGCTTCGTCCATGACGTTGTTTCTACATTGACTAAACTGTGAAAATTCTTATACGAGAATTGTGAACATGGATTAACCGACACAAGGAAATCACGTTTATTGTAGGGAAAGTCCTTGTACATTCATCGGTCATTTTGTTATCTAAACTGCTACATCAAGACTATTACTTCTGCAGAAATGTGTTCTACGAACTGCTCACGACAAATGGACTGCGCACTTTGTACTTACCATTCGACCATGTAATCGACCCAAAGTTATCTTCAGGCAAGTTACCGTTGGACGTGAAGGTCACTTGGTACGTTAGTTGTTTGTTGCTTTCCGTGAATCGCAATGTGTTTGGTGTAACTTTAACCTCCAACCCAGTTGGTGTTTCCACTGATACAGTGTAAGTTGTTTCACCACCATCAACATTTGTTACTGTTCTGCTTACTTGCCTGCTCTCTTTCTCAGTAAGTTTGGAAACTGCTATTGATGGGTAGTTCATATCGGACACTGAGTTATCAACCGATTTGTTGGGGCAGGAAAAATCGGGAGGAACTGTAGAAGAGATGAGTTTGATCGTAGTTATGTCGTAGCCTACGCCACACAAAAATAGTAGATAGTGAATTGTTCCAGTCTCGTAAATAAGTCCTGGTTGTAATGGGCTCGATGACACTTCCCCTGCACCGAAATCATATGGCGTCGCGTCTGTGCCAGAATTTGTTGTTATTGGCTTCTTCATATTGTTTGTTTGGCTTGCTGTAGTTCAAGATTGCAGGTTACTATAAGTTAGTCCGTACTTCAGTCTATGGAATGCATTTTCATGTAGAATTTCTAACCTGTTGTCATCATTGCTGATTTAATAGCTGAAGGGCTCCAGTTAGGATTCTGAGATTTGATCATCGCGGCTAAGCCGGAAACATGTGGGCAGGCCATAGAAGTTCCCGAAATTATGTAGAAACGCGGAGAACTCTTTCCCCCGAGTGTCACTACCGAGTCGTTTTCTGGCCATGAAGCAAGAATGGCCACACCTGGTGCTGCAACATCAGGCTGCACAAGGTAGTCCGGTCATGAAACAAGTATAATCAGTATATAAACCAAACCAACCCAATACGCCCTCGGAAAATCTTAACTTCTCCATGTCTAGCCTCTACGTAAAAGTGAGCTTGCCTTGATTATGTCTTTTGCAGCAAATGAAGGGCCTCTAGCCGAGAAGTAGGGGACTACAGGAGCTGGCTTGTATTCTGTCACCGATACCGTTGGTAGAATAGTTGCCGTCGGATTCCTTCGCGTATTCCCTCAAGTTGGTTAGTGATAGATTGATAATAAGCTAATAACAGTTGCAATGGGTTAATCTTCACCTTGTGGTGTTGAGATAAGATACAATCTTACTCCCATCATTCAGATCAACTGAAGCCATTGGAAATGATCCATAAGAGGAAGCCACTGCTCTTGCTTCATCACTAATCAAAATCATCCCAGTTGCACCAAGTAGTTTAACAAATGCTAGCTTCTCTTTCGCTGTATATACTCCGTCTTCATTCTCGCAAAGAAGAATGCATCCTTTAACTTTGTTCGCATCTAATGATCGTGGTACGCAGTTTCTGAAGAACTCCGGCATTATTAAACACGCGAATTGAAAACATATAAATGTGAAAACACCATCGAAAACTTTGTTTATAATTACCTCGCATCACTTTCATCATAGCTGCTATTGTTTCGTTTGGCTAAGTTCCCGTAAAGCAATGGGTATACCGGAGATCTTTGGATATTACCGAAGTTTATGCCTCCACCCTTGAATTCGAGAGAAACCAATATCGGTTAGAAAGATTCAAAAGAATTTCACATATGTTCATAGAAAGATTACTGAATGGATTACCTTTATCACTGTTTTGTCACCCAAGGTGATATCAGCCTGAAAATCCCTATCAATGGAACTAGCTGCAACTGTTAGGATCCATGGAGCAATATTGACTGCTGTTTCCCTACCAGGGCCATCATTTCCTGCAGAGCACACCACCGTGATCCCCTTTTCGACTGCATGAAAGGCGCCAATGGCGATAGGATCATTCTGAAAGTTTGGTCCGTATCCAGCTGATGCACCTAGAGATAGTGATAATACATCCACACCGTCTTTTATAGCGTCATCGAATGCTCCCATTATAGCTGATCCAAGGCAGCCCTTAACTCCACATACCTTATACATTGCAATCCTTGCACCAGGAAAACCCCCCTTGGCTGATCCTGTGGCAAGGCCATAATAAGATGCATTAGATACAGCGTTGCCAGCAGCTGTTGAAGCAACATGAGTCCCATGGCCGTTCTTGTCTCTTGATGTGTTGAAATCACTTCCACCTTTGTAATACCTTGCTCCAATTATTTTCCTGATAGCATTCATAATCAAGATTTCGTTATCAAGATACAAAAGAAAACAATCGATCTACTTTTTGGTGGGGAATCCGTTTTGTGGGACATATTGGGTTCGTCTTGTTTGGTTTGGTTGATATCAAGATACAAAACGGAATCGGTTTTCCTTGTATCGGTATTCATCCATGGAGAAGGTGATGAGATTAGCACAGAAGATGCAAGAATATGAAGGTTCTTATACCTGTTACAGTTTTTAGTTGTGAAATCATCACTTTGCATACAAGTTCCTTTCCACTTTGAGGGAATAGGACCAAAACCATCGTCATTGAAACTCTCAGACTCTGGCCAGATACCTGTGTTTACAATGTTCACAACATAAGTTAACAAATCTAGAAGAAATTCAGACTAATTTTGTTTCTTTTTTTTCCTTTTCGCTCACACTTTTCCATAAGGTGGGGCACTACAACAAAATTGGGTTTATAGGACACCTCCAATCTTTAAACGTCCTAATAAACCATTTTATAGGACTTAATTTATAGGACCAAAGTATAAAGCGTCATATCTAAAGGTGTTGTAATAAGTTTATATGACGCTTTTTGGACGTCTTAACATGTTTTTTAGCACATTTTTAATACAAGACGTCGCATTAGCAACTTTATAGAACATTTTTTCAAAGTGTCCTATAAAGTTGCTAATAGGACGTTTTATATTAAAAATGTCCTAAAAAACTTATTACGACGTCATATAAACTTATTACAACGCCTTTAGATAAGACGATTTATTTTTTTGGTCCTATAAACTAAGTTTTATAAAGAGGTCTATTAAGACGCTTAGAAATTGGAAGTGTCCTATAAACCCGATTTTGTTGTAGTGGGGGGTCTTTACGGAATTAACCGCTCTACCTTTTACGTTAGAGGACAGTTCACCCCCCCCCCCCCCTTTTTCAACCCTATTTTCGAGTGGGTTTATTTGGTTCATTTGGTTTGATTTGGTTATTCGGAATGATAACTTCATAAGTTATTTGACAACTACCTGTGTCCAAAACGCCTATGATGATATCTGAAGGTGTATTTGGAACTGAATTTGTGTATGTAGAGCTTGATCTAAAGTCGACCTCGACTCCAGTTTGGTATTTCAGGAAATCCCATGAACGAGTTGTGTGAAGCTTGAAGAGTGGATCCGGAAAGACCGACACAACCCCTGGTTTTCGTGCAATATCTTGTGCCTCGGTCTTCGTTAAACGAGCAGCGAATCCCAAGAAGGCGTTTCGGTAGTTATGCACCACTGCATTCCTTTTCCTAGCTCAAGTTAGGTATGTTTTCGTTACTTCCTCCCACACACAAACACAAAAGCAAGAATAGTTGATAAACATGTGCATGCAGTTTGCTTAGGGGTTGTTTGGCAGTTGCTGAATGGTTTGCTGAATGGTAATTGTTTACAATGAAATTAGGGCGCTGAATGGTTAAAGGAAGCTCAGGATACAAAATCATTTAGAGAATTTTAGAACCATTAAGTGGCAGACTTTTTTTGTCAAACAAGATTTACCTCTTAATGATTCAAAGGTTGCTCTTAATGGAACTATTAAAAGGTAAACAAACAACCCCTTAGACTCCTTATGATCAGTTACTAGCAGTAGCAAGCAGCCGGGAAAATTTATATATTTTGAACGTTAAACCTTTTATAACATACGAGAAGACTCCGAGTTAATAAAGATGGGACCCACAAACTAAAAGGTAAAAACGGATTAAAACGTGTATACGCGTGTACGTGTGCGTGTGCGTGTGCGTGTGCGTGTGCGCTCACTGTCTTAAGAGCATCACCAACAGAATCTTCAAGATGGAGAAAATTATCGAGATTTTTCGAGCCGTTTTCTTGCTCCAACATAATCTCCATATTTGAGAAAATGGAGTTTACAGGACACTTTCTCAAAAATGTCCTATAAAGTTGCTAATGCGACACTTTGTATTAAAAACGTCCTCAAAAACTTGTTAAGACGCCCAAAAACGTAATATAAACTTATTACAATACCTTTAGATACGACGCTTTATATTTTCAGTCCTATAAAACGGTCTATTGGGACGCTAATTAGAGATTGGGACCGTCTTATAAACCCAATCTTGTTGTAGCATTCCCTATTAAAGAAAATCATAAAGAAGCCATTAGAGATGCTCTTACCTTCGTATCAACGAACTAACAAGCAGATTATGGCTGTCCCTTGAAGCAGCAGCAGCACCCATATACACAATATAAACACCATTACTTTCTGCTTCACCTGCATGACTTTCTCTTAACAAAGATGCTAAAAAGATTAAGCTACAAACAACATTAAGACCTTTCATGGTTTTGCCTTAGACTAATGCTTATTACACACAGACACATACATATATATACATACAGAATCACATGTGAATATAGAGAGAGAAAGTGATGATGAGAGAGAAGGAACAGCACTAAGATTATAGAGAATTTGAAGTGGGTATATGATGATCATAGGTAAGATTGTAAAGATTGTGTTTTGGTGGGTGTATGCGCATGCGCATTGCTTAATGAGGTTACCATCCCCATTGGGATTGTATATTGCTTTAGACCAAATTCTCTGAGAACCACTATATACCATCAATTATATCCTGTTTTGCTTTCTTCAATAAAGAGAATTTTACCCTATTGATACATTACAACAAAATCGGATTTATAAGACACTCTCAAATTCTAAATGTCCTAATAAACCTCTTTATAGGACTTAGTTTATAGGACCAAAAAAATAAAGTGTTATCTAAAGGTGTTGTAATTAGTTTATATGACGTTTTTTTTTTATGTCGTAATAAGTTTTTTTATTATATTTTTAATATAAAGTGTCTCATTATCAACTTTATAAGACACTATTTGAAAATTTGTTCTATAAAAAAAATGAGTTTATAGGACATTTTCTCAAAAGTATCCTATAAAGTTGTTAATGCGACACTTTGTATTAAAAATGTCATAAAAAACTTATTACGACGTCAAAAAACGTCATATAAACTTATAACAACACCTTTAGATAGGACACTTTATTTTTTTGGTCCTATAAACTAAGTCTTATAAAGTGGTCTATTAGGACACTTAGAATTTGAGAGTGTCTTATAAACCCGATATTGTTGTAGTGGTATATTGCTTTAGACCAAATATTAAGGGTTAAATGCATGAAATAGCAACCTACTTTCATAAATTTTTTTATTATAACATTTTACTATTGTTTTTCTTTATTACTTACTAAGGCATCGCAGTTTAACCTATTACCTTTTAAAACCGGTTAATCCCTTGATTTTTTTTGCTTGTGTGACTTTAATTAGGTGATGTGGATGACACATCATTTTGATGACTTAATTAAAATAAAAATAAAAACCTATTTCAAATTATTATTAATGATTTTCATTTTTCATTGCTATGATTATTATCAGTGTTTGGTAAAATTAATTCTGATATTTTTTTGAAATTACAAATAATTAGACAGAGAGAGGTAGGCAAAAGAATTATCATAAGAAAACTGGTTTTCTTAGTGGATTATGATTATTGAATCTTATCTTTCATTTTAGTGGATTATGGTTCTTGCAGTTGGGATAATTGATTTTAAAATCACATTTTACATCTTAATTTAAAGGGCTATTTGATAAGTGCTTAATGGGTTGTATGGTTTAGTAGGTGAGCTAAACAGGGTTTTTTCAGTTGTGGCTTAACGGGTTAGATGATGGCGTATTCGCTCAGTTGGTTGAAGGGTGTCGTATCCGTTAACGATGGCTTGTTATGTTGTTTGTTGTTCTTTGAGATTGATGTATGTTGTTTAATGATTTGGATTTTGGATTATTTGGACGTGGTTTGGTGGTTAGTTGAAATGGGTGATTTTCAAATATACTGTAAAATGAAGTGGTTGTAACGGTTAGTTCATACGTAGGCAACGGTATACTTCTATTAACATTAAAGGTTAGGCGAAAGACATGTGATGGTAATTTGTAACGGTCATTTCGTTTTCTTCACGTTAGGAAAAGACATTATAAGCAAGCAATGTCGGTTATTCTCTTCTCTCGATGTGGCACACATAACAGTATAACAAAAATGAATATTGTACGAGAAAAAGAGTTATATTTGCTTTCGACTACTTCAATAATCACTCTAGTCTAAGGGGCCGTTTACTTATCCGGTAAGTGTGGATCGGGTAACTTTCCTCACCTGATGCACATGGCAAGGGCTGAAAATCTTATCTTGTGAGAGTGATGATAGGGATAGAGAGTCTTACCCGGTAAGTGATGGTAAGGACTCTTACCCAGGTAAGCGTTTACAGGGTGAATTGTTGCATACGATACCGTTTTAATATACTACAATCTTATCTGGTAAAATAGATTATAGTGTTGATTTCTGCCGATAAGTGCTTACCGGGTAAGTATTTGGGTAAACGGCCCCTAAGTATTTCTATATTTCTAATCATTGTACCTTGTGCATATATAGTTGTACTTTTCATAATTGGATGTTTGTTGTTACTCATGTTTTCTTTGAACATTGGTACACTTCCAAGTCTTGCTTTTCACTTTCTAAAAAGGTCATGAGGCATCATAATTTAAAGTCATCAAGTCTTGGAGCTTTTTAACGACAAGGATGGTGTCTGATTGGTTTGAGCTTGAGCTCCAAAGGTTAACACTGTTTGGAGGTCATAGGTTCAAATCCAATGAGGAATAAAAATCCCCTTGTGGCCACAGAGGTTCAAATGTTGTGACTTCGGACTACCCGCAAAGCAGGTGGTCGGCATGGGATTAGTCGACTCGCATAACGGTTGGATATCCAAGTTAATAGAAAAAAAGAGTCTTGGGAGCTTTAAAACAGTAATTTTGCTGAGGGCATATAATGTATTGAAATGTAACAATTTTTATTTATTTATATTTTGAAATTGCATATGTGAACAGACGTTACGGGGTTCAAATATGCTTCTTCGACTTCTTCAGTGACTCGTATCTAAGAGTTCTCTTCTTACTTTCCCGTGATATTTAAGGATTATTTATTTACCTCTTAATAGTTTCATTAAGTTGTAACATCTGAATCGTTAAGAGGTGAATCTTGTTTGGCAAAAAAAAAAGTTTGTCTCTTAATAATTCTAAAACTCTCTTTAACGATTTTGTATCTTGGGTTTCTCTTAACCATTCAACTCCCCAATTTTACTCTTAACAGTTACCAAACAATTATATTTAATTTTACAATCATAAGAGTCTTTTAATCATTCTAACTATTTAATCATTCTAACTATTTAATCATTCGGTACCAAACCATTCAGCAACTGCCAAATACTTTATTAGTTTTTTTATTTAAACCTTCCAACTGATGATTTTAATAAGTTTGTTATATTAATTAATGGTTTTATTTATTGTTATATGTAATAGGAACAAAGTAAAATTTGGTGCATTTTTCAAGAGTTAAATGTTATAGTTTTTCTAAAATATTAATAGTTAAAGTCAACATTTGTCAAAAATATATTCAACTCCAACAACTACTTTATTTTAATAATATCAGTATTTATTATATTATTAAATATTTTATAAAAAATATCATCCCGGCACATTTAAAAAACTTTATAAAAAATTATGATACATTCAACCTTATTGGTGGAATAAAATTAAAATAATATATTTCTGTGTTCTTTTCTTCTCCATTTTAGCATACATTTTAACACAGTAAAACTCATAAATCTTCATTTTAGCATAATTGTTGGAGATACTTTAGGGGTTGTTTGATTTGCAAAATTCGAAAGAATTTGTTAAAATTAGAATGACAATTTCCTTTGACCAAATTTCCTGATGATGGTCAGTTCGTGAAATGAATTGATTGGGTTCTGTCAAATTCCACGATTGAGGAATTTAATCATTTCTTGACATAAGTAAATGATTTAAATTCCATTTTTTTTATGGTAAATATTATAATCTGGTTTTAAAAAGACAAAAATAACTTTTGCATCTAATTTAACTAACACCACCACCCCCAACATTGTCACCATCGCAACAACAAGGGTTTGTCGATGATGGTGTTGTTCGTCAAGAAATAGTGTTTGCGAGTTTTACCCCCTCCCCCCCTTGCCACCACCACTATTTACCTTCTCGAGTTGCCACCACCACCACTACCACCCACCAATATCCACCACCAAAAACAGAACCACCACCACCACCACAAGGAGGTCATGGTTTGGGGTTCGTTTGACTTTTGTAGTTCATTGTCTTTTGTCGTGTACGTATGTACAAGTATACATATGTATTGCTTTAAGTAATAAAATATACTTCTAGCTTTTAGCTTTTAGTTTTTTAAACGAGCAAGAAAATGAAAAAAAGATGAGAACGCCTATAAATGCCGTTTCTTGTAACAACATATGATATAAGTAACGTATTTTCATCATTATCTAGAGGCCACCAATTATCCGGAAAACGTCAAAAGGTGTCACACAAGTTTCAAATCATTACAAATTACACCAAAATGACTAAAATACATTTGATATGTAAAGTGTTCGGTTGTCAAATATAAAATAAAGTTCGATTTTAGTAGATAAAGCATGATAAATCCTATAATTAAAAAAAAACAAAGGGTGGCATTAACGCATTGTAGGCCTCGTGGGTAGGGGTCGCAGATAGTGTTATTTATTTTTTTTATTTTTTTAAGTATAAATGTCCAAAGCCTAGTTTACGTATACTTTAACTAATTTTATAAGACCCTGAATATAACAGCCATCAATTTAGTTATGGTTTGAATTTTGTATAAGGGGTTATGTAAAAATAGTCAGCTAGGTCAGCTATGATGACTGTTTGATAATGGCTTAATGATATAGAAGGTAGATTAATCAGTAAGCTTTCTAAGAAGGCGTTTTATGCAGAAAGCCAAGTTTTTTCCAAACCTCCTCATTCCAATTAAGAAACATACATCATCCATATATAAAAAAACTCTCTCAAAGAGGGAAAAAAATCATTTTATACAGACAGATTAATCCACATAGACAACTTTATCCATACATAGCTTAATAGAAAACCAACAAAAAAGCCTCTTAACATTATTATAAAATTCTATAAAATACCAACTACCTCTATAAAATTTTGAAATTCCAAATATATCAAATTCCACAAATCAAACGAGTAATTATTTTAATAAAATATAAAATATGATAAGCTACACAATTATGGTTTTGACCAAAGTTTGGGAAACACGTGTCACAAACCCACTAGAAAAATAGAGGAATGATAACTAAGAGATGGGCAAAAGTGGTTTGATAACTTGAATATATAACAAGTGAGATCTGTATGGGTGTTCCACTTTGAGCACAACAACAATTTGTGATTTGCTTTTTTTTTCTATTAAACTGAATATCCAATTCATTATGCGAACCGACTAATCCTAGGACGACTACCTGCTTTGTAGATAGCTCGGAGTCGCCGCATTTGAACCTTCGGGGCCACAAGGGAATTTTTATTCTTCCTCAAATTTGAACCTAGGACCTCCTGGTATTTTTGACCTTTGGAGTCAAGCTCAAACCAATCAGGCTGGTTTGTGCTTTGCTTTTTCAAATCATAACATCTGATCTTTGTAAGAATTCAATCAGATTTAACCAAACAAACCTAATATATCTCAAGAAGAGATAAGAATACGAGAGCAGAATGTATGCAAACCTTACCGTTACTCAAGATGCACCCTTCACAAGTCGAAGTTATTTTTTATGATTTATTTGGGGGTTGGAGTTGATATCAAACGTGTGATACTGCTATATACTTGTTCGTCCCTAAAGATTTCTTATCAAACGGTACTATGAATGAGTACTGTTTTCTGCATAAACGTTTCGCTAAGCTTAATGTAATACCATTTCCGAACATCCTATGCGACTTCCGTTTGGTGTCCTCTGTCCGTGAATCATGACTTGGTGTTCGACTAATACTTCCCACATTCAACAACTGCAATCCCATAAATCTGTATCGATTGTGTACCCAACTAACAAACATTGATACAATCGAACCTGAAACCTAATATAGTCCCTTAATAACCTAACAGAACCGGTAAATCTCACCCAAAGATAGGGTCAAGGGTAGCGAAGTTGTTTCCACAGACCAAACCAAACAAAACGGATCCCACACAGACAAATGTATGATCAAGTGGTAGGATGTATAAAGACCTTGTCTCTACCCCGACGAAATGGATTTTGGAATTTATTAACATTTCTAGAAAAGGTACTGTTAATAATCCCCCAGGTACTGAAACCATTAAAAGAACACCCAATAATTTATCGGGTACTGTACGAAGTATTTGAAATACAGGAAAGAAATACCATTAGGGTAATTTTTCCAAAGGAGTTGCAAACAGATCTGCCGGTTCACCAATCATTGATGGTTYTAGAACCGCTAAGCCTACGTTACATGCAATAGTACCAATGGGTATAGAGGTTGTTTCCATGAATCCCTATAGCCTCTTAGGTTATGACTAATTTCCCTCTTAAACCACTACGGATCCAGGGTTCGATCCTCGGCTTGCAAAACAAAAAATTAAAAAACACGAAAGGAAACTACAGGTGAGAATGTGTGCAAACAAGCAAATAATAACAGAAAATGTAGCAAGAACAAAAGTGAGAAAAATAAGTTAAGGAGGAAACACACTGCGTACTAACTACTAGTGTAAAAAAGAAAAGCTAAAAGACTGTTTACCAAAGCTAACGGGTAAAAGTCACCAGCCTCACTCACCTTACCGGGTAAGATTGTCGCCCATCAAAATGGCATAATAAGATCGTTGGTAAGCATCTCTTACCCGGTAAGCGCTAACCTGGTAAGACTCACCACCCACACTACCAAGTAAGATCCTTGGTCTTTGCCATGCCTTTTTTCCAGTAAGATTCTCGGTCCTTGCCAATACTCACCCGGTAAGGTAAGTGACTTGGTTAGCATTTGGTGACTGGCCCCTAAGGATGACCAAGCCTCCGCAATTTCAGAATCCCCTGCCAAATGTGGTGTGATAGTAAAAGGAAACACAAAGTGCAGTAATGACAGACTACTAGTGCAAGAAAAAAAGCCAAGACTAGTGTGCAACAAAAGAATATGGAAACAACAATTTGCAACAAGAGAAATCCTATATCTTCCTTTCTGGTTCTTTTCCTCCAACAATCAAAACATTAAAACTAAGGTTTTGTCCATAAGACAACATACTTATTGTTCATCTACCCACCAGCAATTCTCGGGATAACCCACCAAAGTAGAACAAGCAGGATTCAAATTCGAATATGAACACCCAGAAAAGAAGATAAAAAAAAGAGACTGTGAGAGTAATTCGAACCTATGATTTCTTAGCGGCGGCATCCTCTTCGTTCATCTTCTTCTCCCACTTCTTCTTTCTGTAATCTGCCAACATCTGAGGCATTTTCTTCATCAACTCAGCTGTGTTTGCTCGTTTCTCTGCCGATATCCTGTCACATTTGTGCCCTTTCCTCTTTGTCCTCATCTCTTTCCTTTCTGGATCGTAGGGCCAATCTTCTCCAGCTAGCAGAACTTCTTTACGAAGGCGGGCCCTACGTCGAGCACTGATCCCTAGGGGCTTCCATGCCCCCAGATGCCAATAGCCCCAAACACCCTTGGAGAGCTCGTCTTTATATTTTGTCAACCTATCTCGCCAAGGATACTGATATTCACCAACAGCTTTTGCAACAGATTTGATCAAGTTTCCAGCCATTTAGCTATATAAGATTCTAAATTAAGAACATATCTGGTCAGTTCATAAGGAATAAAAATGAGAAATGTGACATGATTACACTGAAGTTGAAGAATAATTATGGATAATATTCTATTGATACAAATTATTTTTAGTTCACACATTTGCACAAGTTGGCTCTACCCTCAGGGGGTAAAAATCAGTGTCTGTACATCTAACCCATCCCAGATCCTGCTCTGCTTACGAGCAGGATATACTTGGTTTGTTTGGTTTGGTTTACTATATTGATACAATAAAATTTAGATATGATTAAATCTCCACAATTCCAAACACATAAATTTCAGGATTTGTTTACATAATTTGGTGTTAGCTTTTTCATGTAAGGTGAAATAAGATCAAACATAGATGCTTTTCTCTCTTACAGTACTGGAAGATCATCAATTTGAATCATGAAAATAGTCTCTTTGCAAAATGGAATGAAAAGGTTGGCTACAAAGATTTCCATCGACAACCCTCACAAAGCCGAGGAGTCTTTGTTGACTGGGCCTCCTTTTGTTATCGGTCACAGAATATAAAACCAAACCAAAC